ATAGAGAGAGATACATCAAATGATATGCGTTATATATATATATATATATATATATATATATATATATATATATATATATATATATATATATATATATTCTTGATGAATACATTTTTATAAAAACTGAAGATAACCTAGTTACTGGGGTTATTAGAAACTAAAATAACACAGAGGTGCATGAAGGTGGCATCAAAATGCATATTTTTAGATTTCTTTGAACACATGTAGCTGATCAGACATTTATTTTATCATCATGCTGCATTTTTCTCAGCACATTGAGAGTCAGGACAATTAAACACAGATGTATATATATTCCAATTATAGAGGATTATAGTGCAAAAAAGCAAATTTAGCAGAAGCAAAGAAGGATGTAGCTTCCTTGTTTCCTGAAATCCTGCCATGCAGAGTTATCATGGACACCTGAGGAACTGAAATGTACCAAATAAGACGTCAAATGTATCTTTTTTATGCATCAGTGTTTGATTTCAGAGCAAAAGCGTCGGGTTTATACCAAACAACGTTGACCAGTGAAGTACTTACTTTCTCCTCATAGTGAATGCACGATGCAGCCTCAGGACCGAGATACTTCACCAGACTAGAAAGCACAGCTGCTCTTCTTTCTCCAGCCTGCAAACAGAGAAAATCCCGGCTCAGCGTTGTACCAGCAGCGCTTAGCATTTAAAAGCAGAGCGGCATGCTGCTGAAATAATAATGCACATCCGTGTTTTTCCCAGCTCAAAGAGGGTTTTTATTTTGTGAGGAGCCACAACATTGAGCATGAAACCAGGAGGAATGTAAGAGTGTGGAGGAATAAAGGAGAGGATGAAGGGACATGCAGTGCAGCGGGGATGAGGAATCAAAGCTGTAATTTAATGCTTCCTGCTGCTGCTGCCTTAGATGGACAGCTGTTTACTAAATGGCATTTCGGAGCACACTAAATTCATTTGTTTTGTTTACAATTGATTTTTTTGTTTACAAATGATGTTTTCAATATGAATCTTTACAATGTATGTTTGCAGCTTGAAGCACTTTGTTTCAGCTGCCGCTAGTCTGAAGGAGCGGCAGCTGAAACAGTTTTAAAGCGCTTTATAAATAAAACTGGCTTGGATTTTACTATTTTACTAAGTCATCTGTATTTGAATGTACTCTGTTGGTCTATGATGCAGGAATAAAAACTTGCAGCCAGCCTTTTTGGATCTGGAGTGAATTTTTTGCCTCATATCTCAGTCAAAGTGGATTGAAAGCATTTGCTAAAAATTGTTATTCTTGCCCAGCTAACTTTAACTTTAACTGGGTTATTAATTTAATCTTTATCCAGCATTTTTATTAAACAGATGTTGTGCAGTGTTAATTTTAAAACCAAGGAGTCTGAATAAAAACGCACTGCTCAGAACTGTCGAAAAACTGAAAAAAAAATAGAATTGTGCATAATTATATTAGTAAAACACTTAAAATCCCGTTTAATTAATTAAAGTTTGTAGTAGTAATGAGACAATATGTGATAATTGGAGTGCTTTTAGTAGTAGAGATCCAGCTGCAGCTGCATGAAATCTGTAAACTTGCCCGTATATTTCATGTATCATCTTAGCGTTCCATCAGAAATTAGGTTGCAAACAAATTTCAGGCAAGACATGAGAGAGAAAATGTGGAAAAAATGGTAATAACAGAGCTGGAACTCACTCAGACAAATTTCAGACGGGTAAAAAAAGAGAGAGAAAGAAAATGAGAAAGTGGAGAGGAAAAGCATTTGAACCATCCAGCAAAACAATGTAAGCAAAACACAGCAAAGGAGAAAAATGAAACTCAAAGGAAGAAGATATAAACAACACAGTGAGATGCAGAAAAACTGCAGAAAGGATGAGCAAATTGGAAGAGCTGGGATGGAAAAACAGACAAACTGACAAAAGGAGTAGAGATAAGGCAACGTACACACAGCTCCTGACTTGTCTTATCTGTCTCTACTGCGTCTCTTTGTCTCCGCCGTCTCCCTGCTTATGACCTATTAATTTATCCCAAAGAACAGGAGAAAATTAGGATGCCCTCTACGCTTTCTGAGAAAAACAAAAACAGAGCTGCCAGAGTTTAGAGCAGAAGTAAACGCAGGTGGGGGAGCATCAGATGTTCATCCACCGTTTTAAATTAGAAATGTTTATTGAAATCCTTGTTGGAACATGAGAAAAGGAAAGAGGGTTACATAACGCCGCCGTGCGAAGCAGGAAAGGCACACTGATTTAAAATGAACCTGATTGGCTCTTGTTTTGTTAAACGCAGGTCACCTCACGCCTCGTTAAGCGAGCAAAGCTTACAGACGATAAAAGAAGGGCTAAAGCGTGGGCTTACATGCTCAAAACATAAATAGAACATTTTCACGGCACAAAAAGCAAAACTGAAACGTAAAAATGTATGTCACATGGGCCAAACAAAGGGAACAAAAACTCAAATCAAACAAATAGTTAAAGTTTTTTGGTTCTTTTGGTTTTGGATTTTGAAGACCTGAAACATAAAATGGGCGTCTTATTTTGAAATTCTTTTGGGCTCAGTATAACAAATTTATCCTCAGTTATAAGAGCAGAAGTTGGGATCATTTTACTTTTAAAAAATGATAATGGTGATAATTTCATCCTGATTTAAAAATAAAAAGTCAGCTTGGATGTTCCAGGTTTCTCATTCCCAAACTGCTTTTGGGGGCCACACAAACTGAGTCGAAGGGCCACAAATGGCCCCCAACCCACACTTTTAACACCCCAGCTTTAGAACACCATAAAAACCAAATCAGCTTTTTGCATAGTGTCAAATTACAATGTGAAAATATGTTAAATATGTCATGCTCATTGTATTCTGATTGATTCTTTCCCTCGTTGACATTCAGAACAATAATTTGAAAGTTTAAACAGCTGCTGGAAGAGGACTCCGGGTTTTCCTGGCAGAGGTTAAATAATCGCTGGAGAAAGCAAAACGAGGCACCTAGACAGTCACTATGTCTCCATGGCAACCACTTAACTCCAGCTCTTCAGGGCACAACTCTACCAATTTACAGCAGAGACCAGATATGTACCTGGTGTATACATCTAAAACGAAAATACATGCATTTATTTTCCTTATCGTTTGAAATTAAATCCGAACCAACATCAGTTAGGATTAACTGGATTATATTTAGCTGCTAAGTACAAGAATAGCAATGGACAGGATTTATTTTTAACTTACAATTAAACAATTTAAGAACAAATGAGCCTCTGGCCACCATGCCCTGTCAGTTTTAAAATAATTAGTGGTTTTAACCGTGCGCAATTTAAAGAAAAATGACGGTCATTTCCTCTGGCCGTCACTGGTACAGGAAATGATGGCCGGAAAATTGAGTTTTAAATATTTTTTTAAAAGCGATTGAATTTTATTCTCACCTTTTTGTACCAGATTTAATGCATCTACGCAGTTATAATAATGGAAAAAGTCAAACATATTTCCATAGTATTTACTCTAAGAACTGAAATAGCTTTTAGGTTTTCGGGAGAAGAAGTGATTTCAGAAATACGTGCATCCAAAACAACATGATTATGAGGTTAAACTTGTGTTAAAAATCATTTTCCAGAAACTGGTCGCCCATTTTTACAACAATTCTTATCATATTTGGAATAAATGTTGAATTATACAATTAAATATTTACTCCTAAAGCGGTTCTAGGTTCAAATCCTGGTTTGGAGTCTCTCTTGGTACTCCAGCTTCCTCTCTGGGATAGATTTATTAGTTTAAAGTTAAAACTAGTCATAAATAAGGTCTCTGTCATTTTAATTCCACCAGAGCAAACCAGTATCCAGCAATCTAAAACTCCTGCCGTGGGAATTAATGTAGGGCATGAGGGTCCAAATGAAAAATGGCATATCCTATCAACAACTGCATCTTATTTAAACAGCACATACTGTGCATAATTGTAACCCTTATGCCCGCTTGCATCACACGCTACCACATTTTCTCTGTGTTCAGAAGCAGAGCGGCAAGTGGAGGTTAATTATTAAGAACCTTTTGCTGCTCGTCTCTGCAGGGTGACAGCTACTACAGCTGCAGAGCTTTAAAGCAAGGCAGGAAAACGACCTAAATTGCAAAACAACACCAGACACAATGTTGGGTTTTGTCTTTTTTTTCCCTACCTGAGTTACAGAAAAAAAGTACTAGAAAAGGGAAAAGAAGGTAAAGGAATTATATTCTTGTTGGCTATGAGTGCAAAAAAGGTTCCTGGTGAAGATTTGAAACACTTACAGCTGTTTGAAAATATTAAGATTGTATTTACCCCTAAAAAATGAAGCAGAATATAATCATTCCTATGAAATATGGTTTTTGTGAAGAAGGAACATTTTCACCTGGAGATAAAAAAAGAAAAAAGTACAAAAGGTCACTGGCAGCAACAGCTCCATCAGTGACTTGCAGTGTTTTCACTCCTGCTAGTCCGGCAGACTTGATTCAATTGGGGACAGAAATTGCAACATTTGTTACATTTTCAGCTGGTGCAGTTTGCTTTCACACTGCACTGGGTCAAACCAACCAAACCTTTTGAAAAACCTGTTCACCTCCTCACCTGTGGGGGCGCTGCGTCAAGAACCACTGAAGGAAATGACACAAAACCTCAGGAGAAAACACCAACCGCAACTGGCTTCTTTGCAAATTGTCTTTTTTGCAAACTGTCTTCTTTTTCCCCGAACCAGAGTTAGATCTTTTGGTCCACATCAGAGTTTGATTATGCATTCACGCCTCCCCAAATGAACCAGACTTTCTAGGTAAACGAACTAGAATCGGATTAAAGCAGATTAAACAGGGCTGGTGTGAATGCACACTTAATTTAGAAAAGAGACGGGACTAAACACAAATAGGCTGAGCCAGGAGCTCAACAAGTGGACTTAGATGATGGCTGTAACACTTATGTCAAAGACATCTTCTGTGAAAGAGAGACAGTTAAATACAGGAGCAGTCTTTTAGGAAAGTGACACAGCTAAAAAACAAAAGCTCTGAGCTAAGTGTACTTTCTAAAACCAGAGTACAAGAATTAACGCCAAAGGTTTAATCACCAGGAGGAGACGCTGTTAAACAAGAGCAACTGACCTGCTAGCAACAGAGAATACCTTCACTATTGTCTTAATGCAGGAAAAAGACATAACTAAACACAAAAACATGGAGTTAGGTGTACTTTCTATGCTATTTTAGCACTGCAAAAAAAGGTAATGTCAACAATAGCTTTGTCATTTATTGATTGAAAAGACCTGGCTAATCAGAAAAACTGAGCTGGACAAAAACAAAAAGTGCTTGAAAGTAAAGAGAAAAGAGATTCAGTTAAAAAACAAAAGCACTGAGACAAGTGTACTTTCTACTTGAAAGAAAAACACAAAAACTAGCACCACCAAAAGCTCCATGAAAGGCTTCATCCCAAAAAGGAGACCTGGTTGAACAAGAACACTGAGTTGGTAACAACAGAGACTCATTGACTTTACACTGGAAAGACATACAGCTACACACAATAACATGGAGTCAGGTGTACTTTCTTTTGGAATAAAGAAAACACACTTGCAACAATAGAGTTGTCATTTACTTTGTCTAGGAAAGAAACCTCACTAATCAGAAAAACTACTCGAAGGTGCTGGCAGTACAATGTCCACTAATGATTTTTTTCCTGGAGTAATCTTAAAATCTTTTCCTTCACCTCACATCCAGAGCAAACATAAAGCCACATCTTCATTTTCCAGCCAATTAACACCTAATGAACTAAAAGCACCAGATGTGCATTGCACAGGGCACTTAGACATAAATGTCCCTCACACTGGGTTTTGTTTTGAGCCACTTAAAAATGCTTTTATCTGCTATATTTTATGAAGTAATAGCCATTGCGAGCTGGCAGCAGCATCCACCCCTCCAACCGCCTCATTCCTGGATGCAATTTTCTTAATGCTGCACTCAAGTAATATTGTTATTATGACAAGACACAAAGCTCTGCCTTTGTCTCCACACACAATGGAAATCTGCGCCAACCCTCAACATGCAGTCACAATCGAATGAACCTCTCTGCAATGCTAATGTACCCTGTTATTTTTAGAGGAAATGGGGAATAAATGAATGTTTGAAAACATTTTAGTTTTCGTGACCAATATTTGAGCCTTTTATACCCACAATGAATACATCTCGCTTTCCTCATTTCACCATTAGCAGGCTCCATGACTTCACATGAGATCATGCTGAATTCAAATCAAATATCAAACACGCCTCGGCAGCGGCTGCTGCACGCAGCATGAGAGCTCTGCTAAGATAAACACAGGTTCGTAATAATCTGATTAGACCGGCCTCAGCCCCTATTGACTTTACCTCTCTGGTGCTCCAAAGAGTCGCCTGCTGGCCGGAAATGAAGCCCACCAGAGCCGGGTTCCCACGCGGGCTGGTGGCGTCGAAGGTGACACAGAACGGACAGTCGGTGGAAGATCCTGCCACGATTTCTCCGGAGAAACCCTTCTCCTTCCAGAAGGCCTGCAGGAAGACAGAGACGTTCCGGCTCCATCAGCGGTTTGACGTTAAATTCAAGTCAACAGTAAAAATCCCGAATGAGATGCTAAATGGGCATCCAATTTTGAGAACAAAGACAATAATGAAAAGAAGAGTTTCTTTGATTTTCAGCAGGGGAGCATGAAGTGGATCCGCTCAGAGGCAGAATTGTTTAAGCTGACAACGCGGGGGCCACATTCTGATGACTAATTTTTCTGCTAATTCTTACTAGATTGCTTCATTTCTTGCTGAATTTACAGTAGTGGTTTATTTACAGGTGTGGAAACAATAACCCACTTATTCCTCTCAGTCAGTAGGTCAGTTTACGTCCAGACGGGCCTTCAGCACCAGTTAAAAAAGAAGAAGGGAAGAAAAACTGTGGATACTAGTACTTCACTGATTTGATGTTTCTTTAACCAAATTTAGTTTTATTTTCTGTTGATGTTGTGAAGCACTGTGGTCAGCAGGTTGTTGTAAACGTGACGGATATGTAGCAGGGTTTTGTGTACGTTTGTAACTGTTATTATTAATGTTGCACATTTTAGCTATGTTTAATTTGTTCTGTTGCTCTGTAGTTTGTTGAGGGTTAAGGAAGTTAACCTGCTGGACCTGAGACGAACATAAAAGGGTCAGACAAACTTTCACTTCACTTCCTTGTTTGACTAAAACATTTTGGTTCAGATGATGATTTAATGTTATAAATATGACCCAGGGGCCACCAGACATTCACATTATATTCCTAACATATTCATTACTGTGTTGACAGTGTAAAACTTCATCATCCAGCCTGAACATTTTACAAATTCTTGATCTCCAAAGTTGAGATCTGTATTTTTTAAATGCTGTTGCAAACTAAGGAATTCACATTCTGCCTCAAGCACAAACTTTTTTCACTGTAGTTTTCTGTGATTTGCACAAAGAAATCTGAAAAGTGTGGCGTGCACATGAACCTGCAAGTATATAGAGGCAAGTGTTCACCTCCAGTTCTTTGAAAAATACCTCCAGGTCTATCAGACAGCATGGAAAGCATCTGTGAGCAGGAATTTTCAAGTTTTGCTAAAGAGTCCCACTGGATTTGGGTCTGGACTTTGACTAGGCGACTATAACACACACTGGCCCAGTCTCCTCTCTTGTGCAGGCTGTTTTTCTTCCAGAACTATCCTGTTTCTAACTCCACCGTAAACCATCGTACGCAGAATTAATCTTCTGATCCAAACAGTATTTTGCATGAAAGCCAAAACTTTTTGATTTTGATCTCATCTGACCAGAGGATCTTCTTCCGAATGTCTGTGTGGACTCCAGAGTTTTAGTCCTGGAGTGTTTGACTTTCAGCTGTCTAATACTCTTCCCCCCTAAGCTGTGGATCTGCAGCTTACCAAAGTCCTTCTCGCAGCTTCCTGGCTGATTAATTTTAAAGAGGTGTAAGCATGTGGGTTAAGGTGGACAGCCATAGTTGTGCCATCAAACGCTGGACTGAACGGAGCTCTGCACATTTTTTAAAGCTTTGAATAATATGTGTTGTTCCGTCACATAATGTTCCTATAAAAAACAGTTTGTGGTTTTAATATAAGGAAATGTAAAAACTGTTTTGCCAGGCATCTCTAGCTGCAATAAAACTAAACCCAACAGTGAATGCTCCTTATGACTGTGTGTTTTTGTTTTTTCAAACATTGCAATAAACAGCAGCATCACAGTTTCATGTTTCATTCCAGTGAGTGACTTGTAAACATCTTTATTAGGATCCCTGTTTTATTTTCTGAACAAATGAATCAAACTCTGAATTCACAGGCGTTGATTCGAGTCAGGCAATGTCACGCTGAAGTGAGACATGCATGACAAGAAGGTGTTTATTTTTGGTTGCAGATGGGAAATTGGCAGCTGGAACAGATTTATTCTCCATATTAATATGAAACCGCACACAGGAAATCGGGACATTTATTTTCCTGGAAGCTCGAAAAAGAAGGGCAAAGAATGCAGTTGTTCATGGAGAGTTGACAAGAGCATCCTGGGCTACTTACATAACGTTAAAAAAAATGCTGTAGAAATAAACCAGATTTGATTTGTATGTGCAATGTAACATTTTTTTAAAATCTTTTTAATCATTAGCATTTTCCTGTTAGTGTTTTACTCCAGGGGTGTCAAACTCATTAGGCTCTTAAAGGGCCGGTCGTGCCAGAATGCATTGATAAAACCTGTTCACATTTTTAAATTCTTACAATTAAATCATTACTGAACATCTTTTCAGTCCCTCCAGGAATTTGTGATACTTTTTGTGATTTTTTTGCAAGAACAACCAAAGTGTTTGTGGTACTAATTTGGTAATATTTGAACTTATTTATGACGGTAAATGTGACTTTTTATTACTCGCTGTATATAGATCATAGACCATAATTTGACATCAATTAAGGCTGAGGCAGCTACAAGTAAAGTTTTTGACAATTTTTGAGAAAAATCTGCAATAACTTATGTATTAGTGCAAAAAAGTCCAGGAATTTCTTGATTTTGCATAATAACTATCAAGAAACAGGAAGGGCTGATTGATATAATTTGGCAGTAAGCATTTAAAAAATTTATTAATTTGATTGAAAACATAATACTTGAGCACATTTAGTGTTTAGAATCCACATAAAAAGCCACTGCAGGCCGGATTTGGCCCACAAGCCTTGAGTTTGTTTTATTCTATCCACAGCAGAAAAGTTGTTCATCTTTTGCCATTTTTGCAGAAAGTAAAAAACAACAGACTTTGGTACCATATTCCACAGGTGGGGGCAATGCTACTTCAGAACAGATGTGATGGGAGGAACCCGGCAGAAGTGAGCTGAAATGACACGAGGACTGATCTGCAAAAAGGCAGAGGGGCCGGATAAGACGACTGACGAGGCTGATCCAGATGAGTGACAGGCCTCTGAGCTGTTTGGGGGTGGGATGGTGTCAACCTGTCAGCTTAATTAGTCACCGTGTTTGTCTGGAAGGATCATGGCTACATCCTTCAGCACAACCAGCAAATGTTGTGCAAATGTTCTCATGAAAAAATAAGAGTTTGGCTCCCTTTGCATATGCTATTTGTAGCCTGCAGGCGACCTCATGTAATGATAGGAGCCTTAAATGTAGCAACAACAGAGGCTTTTGCGCAGGACAAACTGATTTGAATCTGCACCAAATAACACTTACATCACATTACATTATTTAGGCCTTTATTCATTCCGGTTAGGGTTATATAAACATCTGTACTTTGGCCAGAGGGGAGAACGCAGGCCATGTGTTCGCACAAGTTCAGCCGTTCAACACAAACTTCTTACTGTGACAATTTTTATTGTTTTCAGATTACTGTGCAGTAGGATCAATTCTACAATCATTTGACAGCAGAAACTCGTTTTAAATGAATTTTTCCATTGCAAACATTGATGGGACAATATTAATATAGGGTTAGACCATCATCAGTACAAGTGAAGCTGTAAAAAATACAGTTTAAAACACTATTCTTCAAATTAGGAGACTGATCTGCTCATTTTATTTGGTGTTTTCTTTGCTTTGCATCAGAATAACCTCACATGCAAAGAATGAGTCCTGGACTTTAAGGACAATGTTTTGGGTCACCAAGAACTTCAAAGTAAGAGCTTCTGCTGCACCAAAACTGTTTTTCAGGACATTAAAACCTTTTTCTCGACAGCTTCTAGTGAGCAACAAGACCAACTGTGCCCCGATTTTCCAATCTCAAGGTCAAACCATGCAACATTTGGACCTGCAAGCAGGAAACATCAGATTCACCCAAATCCAACATACTGTCAACTTAAAAGCTTTAATTTTAGACAAAATTAGATCATTTTCAGTCACGATTTGATCCAGACATTGATATCCAGCATGTAAGATTATCCAATTTACAAATTAAGTCCTTATTCCTAAATTACGAATTCATAAATTATGAATAAGGATCAACCCTGGAAATTTGATGCATTTACTAATCATTAACTATCCTGTTTGCTATATAAAACGTTAGTAGCATATAAGCACAAAACTTTTCCACAAATCCAAGCAGTGTTTGTGCTAAAGCCAAATATGTATATCAGTTTTTTCACATCATATTTAGCTCAGTTTTTATTTTTATCCCTAGCAGAAAGCCTTACGTTAGTCAATGAAGCATGAAATCACTGAGTCCGTTAATGTCCGATAAGGTACGACGACGGTAAACACGCTCTCACAAGCTTTTTGTGTTGAGGAACCGTTTATTTGGCTTTAAATATTCAATCTTGTTCCTATTTTATTCCACTGTCAGGCCGTTCTGTTCAGGCTAAATTCTGAGAAAATTATCGAAGGCCAAAGTAGAGGGAATAAAGAGATCGGTAATACAGTGAAGAAATATCCACAACACATAATGTGACAGTCCTGTCAGGATCTAAATGTGAGAGTAGGAGGTTAAATCAATAACAGCAACATGTTTTTCAGCTTTAGTTACACTTATTCACCAGACAAATGCAGCAAGCTGCCTTTATGTTTCCCATCTTTCACAGATTTTAGCTAAAGGAATTGTAAATCATAATGTTATTATAACCATATCATGATGTTTAGACTGAAGCACACCAGTGAGATTGGTTTATATAATTTTCAGTTCTTCTTAACAAGCAAAGAAATGGTAAAAAAAAAAAAAAAAAAAAAAAAAACAATATAAAAAATGATTTTTCCCGGTAAAAACAAAAAAAAAAGGCAAATT